GATAGTAACTATCCGGTCACAGTCGCATCACAATTAACTGTTAATTGCCAGTCGCATCACAATTAACTGTTAATTGTGATGCGACTGGCTAAAACTTGCTGCATGAAAATTCAGTACTTTTCGGCATGTTTGCGTCAAAGGCATCAAGTTGTAATTATTAAGAGCCCAAACGTATGGCACGGCCTACAGCCTCAACCGCTCCGAATTCTTCAAAACGGATTGCACATTCTCTTATTAGTTTTTCATTCTCTCCATGCTCGTTAGCGATTTGATTTGAAAATATGATTTTTGCATAAGTCGATTTATGAATATGAGTGAGCCTCATATAAGTCGTTGCAGCAGTCGGAGTGAGTGAAACTGCAGGGCGCAGACAGACTGCCGCTAGCCCGCTGCCTGCCTGGCCTCTATGTATACATGTCCGATTCAAACCACTTTCATACTACTGTACTCGACTCAGATGTTTTTTGGAATTTCAAAAAACAAATTGCAGATTCAGAATCAGCGAAAAATTTTACTGTGACTTTCAGTGTGCGAAAAGTTTATAGCCCTTATGGATCGTCCGCAAATCACTGCCATACGTTTACAACTTCATGGCCGTTTCGGCCAATTGTATTTCTTTTGTCTTTCAAGAAACTTTAACGAGGTGTGACGGCAAAAAAAGTACTGAATTTTGCCACGTTTAGTCACATCACCAGTACACACCTATTCACTTTGTTCCGACGTAATTCTGCGACAACTAGCAACAACAAATCCTAACTCACTTATTAACAGTACCTAGTCGTAAGCCAATATTCATCCGTGCTCAGCTTGTTATATGAATACTGTACATCTCTTGCAGGTTTTCGGCCTCTCCTCTTTGTTACCTATGTTCTTAGCTTCGATTTAATCTTAAATTAAATCTTAAATTTAAAGCTGAGCCGATTTTGCAGCTTTAAATTTTCACTGAATCCTTTCAAAACGTAGAGTAAAACAGAGCTAGTGGTTTTTTGACTCTCACAAGTAGGGTAAGCCCAGTGGTCACTAAAAGGCTTGTTGCCATGGATGCCATAGGGCTAACATGCGCTTGTCTGTCACCACGGGCAAATTTGGGTTTAACAAGAAACAGCTTCGGCTTCGCCTCTGCGTTTCTTGTGGACTACATACCGAGTGAACGAATGATTCGGTTAGTTATAGAATAAAATGAAAACTAGCAGCCGAGGAAAAAACGAAACAAACTTTAAGGGCGAAAGGTCAACATTTGAAGAACCAGGCATCAGGTATTGGCCTGATCAACCTCAGCTCATAAAAAAGTGCAAACTGCTAACGTAATATATAATGCCAGTAAACGTCCGCTTGTTGACTGGTCACCAATCTAAATGCAGAAACAGGAAAAACTTCAGCTGATACAAACGCTAGTTGACCGCAGAGCATACCCTGTCACCAGTTATACCTAATAAACCGAAGGCGATCTGTTGTCTTATAATCGTAATAAAACTAACTGGCTTCAAACAAATTCATAACTGCTATTAAAAAATTAGCTACTGCTTCCTCGAATACAGGAATAACTGCTAACTATGAAATCATAACTACTGTCTCCTCGAACACAATGCAACTTTTGAATTTTAAACTAGTGTATTTGCCCAGTCGTAAGCCAATATTCATCCGTGCTCATCTTGTTATATGAATACTATACATCTCTTGCAGGTTTTCTGCCTCTCCTCTTTGTTCGCTATGATCTCAGCTCCCACTCATCCAATTTTCTCGCTTTAAAATGTTCTGGAAACCGCTCGGTCTGGCGGGTGATCTAAGACTAATCATTGTTTGCTATATGCAAAACCTCAAGCCCAGTGGTCACTCGAAAGCTTGTTACCATGGAGGCCATAGGGCTAACATGGGCTAGTCTGTTACCACGATCACATTACACTGTACTTACTCAATCAGCTAAAACATGAAACAGCTTTGGCTGCGCCTCTGCGTTTCCTATGTTCCGTGGGCTGTCTGAACGACACTTCGTTGGCTACACTTCGTTGGCTACAGTTGCTATTACAGTTTCGCGAGTTTAGCAGAATAAACAGAAAAACAGCGGCCGAGCCACAAAACGACACAAACTCTATCAACAAAGGTCATCAATCTAAGAACTGAACATTAGTAGATACTGGACTGATAGACCCCGTTTGCTAAAGTAATAACCGACAATGACAGCAAGCGTCCACAGGTTGGCTAATCACTAAGCCAAACGATAAGAAAAGGAAAAATTTAGCTGATACAACCGCAGACCGCAAAGCATTCCCTGTCATTTGTTAAATCCGATAAACTGAACAAAATCTGTTTTCTTATACAAAAACCAACTGTTTTCAAACAAAAAAAATAATTGTTACTGCTTTCTCGAAAACGCTTCAACGTATGAATTTTAAACTAATTTATTTGCCCAGTCGTAAGCCAATATTCATCCGTGCTCATCTTGTTATCTACATCCCTAACCTTTTATACATGCTTAGCACATGTTCGCGATGATCGGGCGAATGGCTGAACCGATTTCGACGCGGCCAAGTGCGTTAAATTCGTCTCAACGGCGCGAATGTTCTTACGCTATTGCGCCATCGATACGCCCCAAAAGGGAAGGAGTAGCCCCAAAAAACAAATTGTTGCCATGGGCCCCCATAGATATACATGGTAAATACATTGTCTGTTTGCGGACCGTTCGGAAAAACCGAGACAGACCGCGGTCTTCGGCATCGGCACGTTACAAAGTATTGAAAATTTAAGAAACATATGCAAAAATTAATCGCAGTCAATCCCACCAGCGTGATCGGTATACCTCGTATTCTTTCATGTACGATATTTCTTAGATATCTTAGGTTTCTTAGGTTTTCTTAGGTATTCTCAGGTTTCTTAGGTGTTTTTAGGTATTCTTAGGGTTTCTCAAGTTTTCTTAGATTTTCTCTTTCCTAAATTTCGTAGTTTTCTTAGCGGCTGAGACCAATGCGATCAACCGTTGCGAAGTGTGCATTTCGTCACAAACTTGTGCCGCAAAAGTTTGTGTACGGATGTAGATCCCGTAAACTGGTTATATGAATACTAAACATCTCTTGCAGACCTTCGGCCTCTCCTGATTGTAACGCATGATCTCACGCTTCTACTCAATCGATTTTTCTGCTTCAAATTGCACAAGAATCCTCCCAGTGCGGGGAGTGTTCTTAGACTACTGACCTTTCGCCATCGCGATAGCGGTAGGCCCAGTGGTCACTGAAGATCTTGTTACCATGGATGCCATAGGGCTAAGATGGGCAGCTCTGTTGCCACGGGCATGATAAATTTGAAGAAGAAAAATTTTTGGCTTCGCCTCTGCGTTTCTTGTGCTCCCCTGGCTGAGTGAACACTTAACTAATCACTTCGCCCACTGATAAGCCACCACAATAAGATTCAGTAGAATTCAGTAGAATAAGCAGAAACTTAGCAGCTGAGCCATGAACCAAAAAAAACTTTAGGGGCAAAATGGCAATACGATCCTTCACGATTCTCACCGCAGGCAACCATCCTGAATAAGTAGCTGTCTGTGTCTGCCATTATGACTTTGCACCGCAATCCAACACATGAAGATACGACGTAATTTTAAATAGTCGTAAGCCACTATTCATCCGTGCTCAGCTTGTTATATGAATACTAAACATCTCTAGCAGGTGTTCGGCCTCTCTTCATTGTCCCGGGTGATCTCAGCTCCTGATAAACCGATTTTCATGCTTTAAAATATTCTAGAATCCTTTCAGGGCGGTGGGTGTTGTGAGACTAACGACCTTTTGCTGTTTTAAGAATTCTCAGGCCGGTGGTCACTCAAAAGCTTGTTACCATGGATGCCATAGGGCTAACATGAGCTGGCCTGTTACCACGGGCACGTCATACCGCACTTGCACAAAAAAAGTTTGGCTTCGCCTCTGTGTTGCTTGTGGTTAACCGACGGAAACCGCTTATTTCAATCAGTCCATAATTTGATATTGAATCTTTTTAGATTTTGGTAAGATCTGAAATGAAGTCGAAAAGCACATTACCGTTTTCTAGTATTTCACTTGATTCACTATCGCACCTTGCGGCCCAGTGCACTGAGCTGCATCAGCAGTTCGGTCAATCTCTCACATAATTTTAGCAGCCCAGTTCACTAAACAGTACGCATTACTACGACGTAATTTTACGACTTCGAGTAACAAAAAATCCTAACTCACTTATTTTACAGTACCTAGTCGTAAGCCAATATTCATCCGTGCTCAGCTTGTTATCTACATCCGTAACCACGTATACACGATTGATAATGTAGCCAAAGTTTGGGCGAACGGCTGAACCGATTTCGACGCGGCAAAGTGCGTCAAGTTCGTCTCAACGGCGCGAATGTTCTTACGCTATTGCGGTTTTTCCGAACGGTCCGCAAACATTGTCTGTTTGCGGACCGTTCGGAAAAACCGAGACAGACCGCGTCCTTCGGCATCGGCACGGTACAAAGTATTGAAAATTTAAGTAACATGTGCAAAAATCAATCGCAGTCAATCCCACCGGCGTGATCGATATATCTCGTATTCATTCATATACAATATTTCGTAGATTTTTTAGGTTTATTAGATTCCTTAGCTTTCTTAGGTTTCTTAGATTTTGTTAGGGTTTCTGAGGTTTTTTTAGGTTTTCTTCTTTCTTAAATTTCGTAATTTCCTTAACGGCTGGGATCGATGCGATCAACCGTTGCGAAGTGTGCATTGCGTAACAAACTGGCGTCCACAAAAGGTTGTGTACGGATGTAGATCCCGTAAACTGGTTATATGAATACTGTACAGCTCTTGCAGGTTTTCGGCCTCTCCTCTTTGTTACCTATGTTCTCAGCTTCCAATGAGCCGATATTGCAGCTTTAAATTTGACAGACTAACTCAGTACTCGGGAAAGGCATTGGCGACGTGACCAGATTGCATTAGGTTGCAGTAGATGACTCCTAGAATCCTAGTTAGTATTGGTCAATGGAATTTGTAAAGTGTCAGACTTACAGGGCTAGTATCATTTTGACCACTGCCCAGTAGCGGTGGGCTTCCCCCATCGGCAACGAGCGCCAGTACTCCAGCATGACCTTTACGTTATCTCCCATGTCGGCGGACACTGCTGGCGCCACGGCAGCTTCCACCGCCTGCATGACCGCGCCTAGGTTAGTGTCAGTGTCACGGGAAGCGTCCAGGCGGACCTCGGGAACCGTGATATCCACTGCACGCGCTCTCTCCAGCCAAGCGTACGTGTGGGGCAAGCGCGGCTCCAGCAGGTTCCTTCCAATGAACCGGCCGAAAACATCCCGCATGACGTAGTCGCGGACAATCAACCGGCGACACATAACCAGCAACGGGCTCAGCCAGTGCAGCGGACTAATTAACGCGATGCCGACGGGGTCGTCAGCGCGCGGATCCAACAAGGGCCTGGCACGCGTGAAGCGCCAGTTGGCGTTAATCTCGCCTTGGACGACACACTGCTGCAGGACGAGGCACAGCCCCGACCTGGCAACGAACATGGGCAGCATGTAGCTCAGAATAATAAGATCCGCGTTAGCGCTGCTAACAGGCACCGGTGCCATACCCGGCATCCAGTGGCGCAGCGCTAGTGTCTGAAGGTCGTCGGTCAAGCAGCGGAAGAGCGCGTTACCCAGGCGGAACATATCATCTGCCAAGCTGGCGCTGGTTGGACGCAGCGAGAAATCATAGGTCACGTGCTGGCGCAGTGCCGGCCGCGTGGTCAACAGAGCGTTCCATGCTGGACAGACCCTACACAAGGTTCGGATGAACTGCAGTGCCAAGTGTGGACTGTACTCGTACTGTACCTTCGTAGTCTGGCCATGGTCAGCATGTCTACGTGCTCCAGAATGGCCTCGATGATGTCCAGCGGCAAGGCGACAAAACCAACATCTTCCTCCGCATTTAAATCTATCAGATCCAGGTCAAATAAGTTATTATACCATTAACACTTCGTTGACTGCCAGTTTTGAGCAAGGTCTACTTTCATGTTCTAAGACACCACAAGCACACGATTGGTCAGCAAGTTTTTCTGCCCAATGGTTCGTTTTGTTTTAATAGTGTTTAAACAATGCCATGAAGTGAGAAAACAAAAGGAACCGAGCAATAAAATGTGCGCGATTTGCTTGTGATGAAAGAGAAGGCACACAGATACAGCCTGGCCACGCCAAATTCGTACAGTTGCATAAATTAAATTCAAATACGAGTAATTTTGTTCGTCATTATGTTTTTCTTTTAACACTTTTCCAGTGCAACTTTTTACTGCGGATCCAGGCTGAGCTCGGGTTGAAATCATGATTTCATGCATTTCATATTTCATGTTTCATTTCATGATCATGCGGACTCTCCCGTGAAATATGAATAGGAAATGAAATGAAACGTGAAATGAAAGAAATCGTGAAATCACCTGAAATACGATGATACCGCATGAAATTAACGTGTTTCATAAAATTTTGTGGTAAAAAATTAAAAAACCTGGCACAGATTTGACTGCTTTTGGTGCAAACGCGATGTATTCAGCGGTATTAGCGAGTATATTTAACTGTTTCTAATGCGATCGTCGGATATCCGCAGATGGCAACACCAGAAGCCCCGATGGTACTTATCGTTAGTGAATCTTACTTCGCTTCCTGCTTATAACAGCTAGGTACCGCAAAATTTTATGCACTTACAGCAAATAGGAAGATAAATCCTTTTGGAACGGTATGTTTAACACAGTTACTGCAGAATCTCTAAAAATAAAATAAAACCAAAAGCGTGATGTTTCAACTCTTACTTACCGCGGCGCCCTATCATTTTGGCCACCATTCATTTTGGCCACCGTTCATTTTGGCCACCGTTCATTTTGGCCACCATTCATTTTGGCCACCGTTCATTTTGTCCACCATTCATTTTGGCCACCGTTCATTTCGGCCACCATTCATTTCGGCTTATTTTTTTCGATATTTAAGTAATTAAGTGCAGTTAGATTGTACATGTATTTAGTACGTATTTAATTGCTTAATAATGGCCGTATTCAATTGTTTAATAATGGTAACAACGAAATATTATAACATTCGTGATAAGTTGTACTCACATTATAATCGCGTACAAATTGTACATAGCATAATTACTAGTGAAAAAGCAACGAGCAAAAGAAACTAACAGAAAGTGGAAATTATAAACGCTACCCAATAACATATACTGGCAACCCCGATATAATCATATACGTATATGCAAATACGCGGGACACTTAACTGTACACAATATGTAATATTAATAGGTCACACAAAACAAATTACAATGGTTCACCCCGTTTTCCTAGCAGTATTTCCAGGTTTGTAGCCACCGATCTCAAGTAGTCCGCACTGTCCATCTGTCCGTAGCTCAAAGCGACTTTCTTAAGGCGCCTGGTGACCTCAACATACTTTTTCTTCTGCTTTGGTTCCGCACCTGCCATTCGCACCGCAACTTCCGTTTGCTGGTGTGAAATTTCCCGTGCCAGAAGGTCATGAAATGCATATATGCCAGGATGATCTTTATTCACAGCATCTGAAAAGGCGCGATGCCACGCTTCGAGGCGGTTGGTAGTGCGATGAACATCGTTTTCCAGTCTATCCCAACAGCTCCAGAATTCCACTGGAAACAGAGGTTTAGTGGCGATGCATTTGTTCGTTGGAATTAAAATTGCGGTATGCCCAATGTATGTCGTTCGTAAATAATCAATGAAAGCATCGCCTTGCTTGAACGGAAATTCTGGTATCTTTAACAGCTCCGCCAGAACGCGCTAAACATCCCTGACCGGAACAAATGCAAGCGCAAACAGCATGCGACAGGACAGGCTAAATTCAGGGTCAGTTGCATAAGCGGGTCCCAGTCCCAGGTTGCCAAGCTTTCGGTAAACACACTGACCAAAATGAAAGTTGCAACCTGCAAAAATATTATGTACTAATTAACTAATACTTTAAATAACAATTTATTACAGCGTTTGCGTGCACGATGGTAAATTTAAAATTATTGATAATTTTCATGGTTTATTTGTGATTTATAGTAATAATCCTATTAATTAGTAAGTACGAGTATATAGTGTAATATAGTTCATGATATTTATTACTATATTTTGCCATCTGTACCTCGTAATTTCGAATCCGGAAAAACCGCCCGAAATGCGATGATCGATGACTGCTCAAAATCCATGATCATATATTCAGGACCAAACGTACCCTGTCCACTTTTTCCCACCAACTTGTCACGAATAATGTTGAAAAAGCGGCGGTATGTGAGCTCGCACTTATTTGGTAGCAATCCGTAGATCAGGGGAACCGTTGATCCGCATACATTGCCGTGGACGGTGTACAGCTGCGTAAAGATAGGCGGGCTCACGCTGAATGTTCCATCGCTGAGCCAGACAGCAGAATTCGCCAGATGATCAAAGCATTTGGGACCACCAAAAACAATAATTCGGTGCTCATCTTCCCGTCCAGTGTCGGCAACAAGTATCGACTCCCCACGCGCATTTTCTTTTAAAAAATAACTTTCATCAATATCAGCCAGGGTGTTTATGCGTGTCCCAGGTACACCTGCAGCTTTCCTCTGGCGTACAATGGTTTGGGCAAGGGCATCATACGATGTCATTTGAACAGCAACAATCAGCGGGATATCAGCGCGAACTTCATCAATTATTTGACGTGGTCTTTCTAGCGTTGTGGCTGCACGGGCTTTCAGCACTTGTCTTGCGGAATTCGCATTGACTTTCACAACGTCGGGAGCGTGGGAATGATGGTCGCGCTCAGTTACTTTGCCATTAACGTAAAACAGCCGGGCCTTACAACGAGTCTTATCTCTGCAACGCCAGGTTTGACAGTCTTCCGTTTTAACATCAGCACGTTTCCACGCTTCGATGTATTCGTACCCGTTATGGATCAAAACCTTCCCTTTACGATTAGTCACAGAAAACGTTACTTCGGCCATTATTTTTGTAAAGACAGATAAATATTACAGTACAAAAAACAGAAAAATCGTAGAATGGTTTTTCTTTTCAGTTGTTCGCATTGCAATTAATATAAACTGAACGGTCGAGTCGGTTCGAATCACTTATCACGGCGATCACGTAGACTGATGTACAGCATCAAAATCGAACTCTACCTGAGTCATTCGGCGCCATAATTGTGTACAGCTAACTTTTTAACCCGTTTTAAATTCGAATCACCTAATAATTATGCAACCCTAATACTGCGGATATTTAAACTGCACTGTACTTAACTGCGTTTATTTGCCATAATTATAGTGCTTACTTAACACAGTGCAGTTATTAAGTGCAGTATTTGCGTAATAATTGCAATTTGCAAGCTACTAGCAAGTGCAGAGACCTACGTATTACGCTATACAATGGTTACAAGTCATAACCCATAATAATATCAATAATTTATAATAACCAATAGAAAAATTATAACGCAGCAACGGCCTCATACTCCTTCTTAAAAGTAAGTACTATATAAATACTGGTTTACTGAATACGTACATAATTACTGGATACGGGTGGCCAAAGTGAATGGTGGCCAAAATGTATGGTGGCCAAAATGTATGGTGGCCAAAATGAATGGACACGCTTACCGCGGTTTTGCGGTTTACCATATTTTGTACTCTCGGACCGTTTTTTTGTGAGTGGTGGCAGTTATATAACTTGATGCCTGAACGATATTATTAAAGTGTGATAATTAATATTATTAAAATAATTAATTTTTTAAATAATTTGATTCACGTTTCATTTCTTTTCATTTCACGTTTCATTTCATTTCCTTTCAAAACTGGGTTTGAACCTCATGAATTGCAACCCTAGTTGAAACACCTTCGCTGAAAACGCGGTTGCCTAGCGCACAGACGTGGAAGATTCGAAGTTGACCGTTTTCATGTTGAAACATGGGTCAAATGACATAATTTTAATGCCAAGCTATCTACCATACAGGCGGGAAGATGCAAATGACGGACAACTGGAAAAAAAATCTTACAGAGCAATGACTGAAAATTGTAATGATTGATATCAAAATTGTGGTGGTGCGAAGCGTATCGGGTTTTTTTGTGGGAATGGAAAACCCGAAGTAGACGCATAGTCATCTGTCAAAAAGATTTGATCAAGATTGGACACCTACGACCGTTCACGGCTGTACGGCGAGCGCCCCAAAAAGGGCGCCTTACAATGACGATGCCCCACTGCCCACAGGTTTGCTGCAAAGGTCACGTAGTCTTGGCAGAAATCGGGTTGTGTTAGACACCACCCGCAAGAGCACTCGTTGGCAAACACCATGAAATTTACTAGTCTAGGCTAGCAGAGGTGTTGAATTTTTAAAAGAACTGTGGAATGGTCGATGGACCCCAAAACAGATGGGTCGAATCGCCTTTCGAAGCTGGTCCGTTCTGGTTTCGATTTCACTGTAATTATTTTGTTTTCAGCGTAAAAACTAAAATGCAAAAGTTGCTGGACACACGCGCTGACCATACAAAAATATAATATGATTTTAATTCTTGACGGGTGACGTGTGGTAATTTTTTGGAAAAAGTGTCTGAACTTGGCGGGGCCAGGCTACTCTGTATATTGTACTTAACCGTATATGGGAGCACCGCTATGCGGTATGCTCACCTGAGCAGCTGCGCTGCGTCTCCTCGGCTGCTCTAGTTGTCTTCGATGTATGCCGTTTTGGCGAAAGGGAATCAATGGGCAACCTTCTCAAACTTCCCTGTGCTTCCGATTTTTTGTTGGTCAACAGCACAACATGCATAGCTAAAAATTTACCAGTAGCAACCGAACATTATTTTAGTACAAAGGCTGATTTTCTCGAAACCGTTCACTCACGCAGCAGGACGGTGAGAACCTACGACTGCGCATGTCCCAAAAGGATGGTGACTTACACCATCTCGATTCTGGACTTCTGGTAGCACCGGGTGGGTCAAAAGCAATGCTATCAAAAACTAGACCCCTTTTCACTCACTTAGCCAACACGTTTTGTCAAAAAATTATTGTTTTCGAAATTTGCTGCTGAATTAATAAAGGTCACTTCTGGTGTGAGTAACCGTGCTAGGAGACGAAATATTAATGTGATGCGCTTTGGTATCATTCGTTGCTTCCCATGGCCACCTATCTAAGGAAATGAGAGAAGAGCCAAAGAATCGCTTAGGGACTCACCTAAAGGCATATCGGCATTGATTTGCGGGCCCTTTGCGCCGGTGCACAGCCAGCCCTTGTTGGACTGGATAGGAGTGCCGCCGCTGCAGCACATGAGCTTGCCCCGATTCGCGAGACTGGCATTGGCGGCAATGAGACCATTATCAGTCCCATCCACCCCAATCTGCCAGATGCTCCTACCAGAATTAACCAAATCCCGCAGCGAACGTCGCGGTACATCGCGGAAAGCCAGGACCAGCTGTAGGGGATGCACGAGATGCCGGGTGCCGTCTGACGGCGTTTCCACTAGGCAGAGAAGATGCACGCCGAAGGCGGTGTAGGAGAGGACGGTGGCCGGCTGTAGTATCAGCGGATCGAGCCGGCGGTCAGCGCGCAGCGCCACCAACACGCGCTGGTTTACTGATGGGAAGCCAAATCCATCCTTGACAGCGCTGTTATGCGGAAAGACCGCGTGCAAGGGGAAACAGCGCGCGGCCAGGTGCTCGCAACGGAAGTCCACGCTCACCTCATCGTCAGATCCGCAAGTGGAGGCAGATGCCGGGGCTGGCTGCAGGAAGCCGAGGCACCACTGCACCGTCGCGCTCTCCGGGTGTCGCACAAACACCGGTATCGGTTCCATTTCGCATAGCGCACTACGGGTCTGGATGGTTAACGTTCTTCACCACTGCAAGCTATGGTGTTTCTATAAAAACAACTGTCTGTTGTAAATCGCGACATTCCTTACTGTTAAATTTTCCGAATTTTCGAAGTATGTCACGAAAGCAGGATTAATACGAGGCCTTGCAATGACCACGCCTCGGTCACGGCCATGAGTACGCCCGATACAGCTGATCATGAGAAAATTCGATTGTCGTAAACTAGTCCCAAGTCTGAATGACTTCGTGATAATCTCATTTCAGAGAGCAAAAATCTTGATCTTAAAAATTAAGTTCTTAATAAAGCATCAGGAATTGATCTAGTTAAAATCGGTTTGTATATAAGGATAAGATCTTGGCTACTTTATCCAATTAAGCCGGCATTTCGTGTTGCCGACTGTCGCGTAGCAGCAAATGGTAACAAAAAGTCAAAAACAGCGAAGAACCAGATAAGAATTATATCTTTTTCGTGAAGTCACAAATTTGCTGATGGTATAACCATGCCAACTAAAATTTTACTGCTGGAAATAGCGGCTGAAACACCCAAAAATTTTCGAATATCACGTAAAGATAGGAGTTGTCACGAGATTCTGGCGCCAGCGAGGTGGGACACAAAAATTATTTCCACTTTTTCAATTGACATAATTTTTACCAAGCACGGTTACCTTTCCTAAAACAAGTTTTACTGTTTTGAGTGGTCATTAAAACTGTACATCGAAAGAGCCTTAGTTCAGTTAGTTCAACAGTTCGCGATGCGATAAGTGGTTCATGAGAAATAAACCGAAATCGTAAGAGGACATTTCGTTCGGCCACCAGGGTACGTACAACTGCAAACCACAAAGGGTATTCCGAAAGAAAGTTCCTTATTTTGGTGCGCTATCATTTGAAGCAATACTTCGAAGTACTCGTACTATAGTGAAATATTTTTTGCTGCATAAACCATCATGTGAGCTATCTACAAAAATAAGAACCAAATGATTCGACGAAAGACTGGGGAAACAAAAAATTAAATAGCCTGAGCTTTTCATGCAGTTTTTTCATGGTCTTCTTCAGATCTTTTTCTTTTTTTTGCCACTTCCGTCCTTGTGCTACAAAGAACGTACCAAAAGTAAGTTTCCCCAATTTGCCTCCCTGCCATCTGAAGTAATACGCAACTGATATATTTTTTGTTACGTAAGAATTATGTAAATTTACCCAGGAAAATTAAAACTCAATGGTTTGATGAGAAAAGGTAGAAAGGAGCAACAGAATGGCTTGTACCACTTTTTCAGCTTCGCCACGAACTTTTCAAAACCCATTCATTCTTGTATCAATTCCGCCCCAGTCCAGTTTCTGGCAGTAAAATAAAAGTTAATTGCAAATAGTGTGCTTAATATTTCTGTGGTGGCAGATGTTCTTGGGAAGTTCAGGGGTTTGAGTAAAAATTTGCTTCCTCACGTCACCAAATTTTGTCTTATTTAGTCTTCTCGTTTGTATGAATTCCAGATGCTTTGCATAATGAAAGAACATTTTATGCGCAGTTATGGGCATCTAAGCTACCAGTGGACTTTAAGCGAGGGAAACAAATTTTTTCATGAAATTTTGATTTTCAAAACCCTAGTCATCGATAGTTTCTATTTTCCCACAAAAACTGTATGCGAAAGTTCTTTTGTTTATTAACTGAGATTAGAAGAGAGAAGAATGCTTAATTTGTAGACGCTTTGATTGTTACAAAAAGTTAAGAGGATGTTTGAGAAAAAATGCAAAAACTATCCTGGTAAAATCCGTGGCAAAGTCGAGAAACTAGAAAGTGGTCGATGGACATTTTGGCAATTTTTCTACATTTGATTGTTCTTAGACAAAGTTATATTTTACTTCTTTTCCTTAGTGAAGGGCATTTATATCTGTCTGGATAATAAAAGCTAAATGCATTTGCGCTGAGAGAGGCAAAATAGGGTAACTTACTTTTGTACGTCCTTTGTATCAATAAAACAAACATTTTATGGCCTGATCCCGTGGGGTCGGAGATCCTTTGCGGGTAACAAAATTTTGTTAAAATCCGAGGTCTGGTAAATCTTTTCTACTGCAGATGGGAAAGAATTGGATCATAGTGTTTAACAACAGCGGGTAATGTTGTAATGCGCCAAAAGCTGATCGAACTTCGATGACAAATGCGATTAACAATTACTTATTACTGCTACTACTTACTTTGTATTTTCGTGGAAAGCAAGGAACTAAGTGCTAACGGAAATAAAAGCAAAGCTTGTAGTTTCAATACTCCTTGATATAAATGCTATGAAACTCGAAAGTTCCCTATACTGCGCACACTGTATAGCCTATACAGTATGAGAATGTCAGAGTCACGACTGTGTAATAAGAAGGAGTTTATGGACAGTGCTACAACTATGTGGCTAAGTGCTTCTCCCTCTCGTTGTATCATTGATGCACATGCAATAGTTGTTCGCATAACCGGTCGCCCTCTTGCTACTTTTCCAGCTGGTAGCAAAAAGAGAAACCGGCCCACAACTGCCGGTATTGGCAGGCACCCGCCATACGAAAATTTTGGGCACTCACTGCATCGTAGACTCTATGGTAAGTACGATATAAGAAGGTTGACTTAGAACCGACCTATACAGACAGCGGTTACCCAATCCTGATCACTACCACCTATCCAATCTCAATTGCGCACAGCTAGTCACTACTCTGGTCTAGACTATTCTCTATATTCTCTTCTCTACTCGTATATATTAAAAGAATAAGGCTTTCAGAAATTCCATTTCCATACAGTTTGCCAGGACTCTACACTGAACCAAACTTCGATAGCTATATACCATTCGATAGCCCTAAGTTTCTATATTTGCCATCAAAAGTCCGTTTTCAAAACAAGAAAACGGTTTGAAAGCAAAGTTTAAAAAACTTAACATGCAAAGTCTATGGTGGAAGTGGAGAACCCACCACTGCAAAACGATCACACCACCACTGCCAGTAGAGCAAGTCACACTTTTGGATAAATCAGCAAAAACGTTACAGTGGATGACAATGGATGAAATTTTAAGGCCTATATAATATAAGTTGAAAGCCCTGAATTTATAGATTTCACCTCCAAAGCATGGCTACCGGGGAATATCAAGATTTGATAAGAAAGTCTCATTGCAAAGCAAAAATCTGGGAAACAGTCGAGGTTCTCATTTCCGAACACAAGTTTTTCAGGTAGCCGCCCTACACAGCGCGGGTGATCAGTTTTAAAGTTGCTGCGCTCTTTTGGGCGGGTACAGTATCTCGCTATGGTACATCAGCTTCACCGCACGAGGTGGCTTTTATAAGCACTTTTTGTTTCCGATATTATTATTGTTTAGTACTGTATGTACTATGTACGTTCGAGGCTTTGAGCAGAATATAATAAAAATGGCAAATACGAGTACTAGCGGTGGTTGCGAACCACATTATTGCACGAGCGCGAGCGTCAATACCCCTGGGAAATGGTATTGGGGTTGTGGAATTGGAAAAGCGTGACGTACGCTCTTCGTGGCGTCAGACAAATTTATGCTCTTGACGAAGACTTATTGCAGCACCTCGCGCTTCGCGCTCGGTGCGAACTAAAATTTTAAATCGTCAAATCCTGTACCAGCCGAATTTGCGCTATTTTCTGCGTTTTGATTTCACGGAAAAAGCAGTTCGAGATTTGAGTAAGTATTTTATGGTGTGCTTACCCAGCAATGGCCAGCATGCCACAGCGAGCATGAAATCCATGAATTACTTAATGTTAGCCACTGCAGCACATTTGATAACAAATGCGGAAACGTGCATATTATGCAAAAAATATCAATGTAAAACCGTCTTTCGTTAAACAGAATAAATGGATTAAATTACGTACTGATTAGCGTGGCCAACGGAGTTGATTGGATAGATGCAGTTAACATGGGCCGAATGTTACATTCACGAGAAGGTTTTGTAAAGTTCCAAGTAATTTATCAGTTTGTAATAATAACGAGCCGCAAAAGGCGCCGAGCTGTGACAAAAGCGAAGCCCGCGAAGTAGCAAGTTTAGCAATCGAGACAATTTCAGTAATACTATACAGCATTTGACTTTGAAGGGCAATTTTTACAAAAATTTGTTAGTTTAATTGGCATCGAAATTTAGCAAATAAATTATTAAGTACTTAGTTGCTTCAGCTCACAGATACTTGGTAGTAATTACACTGTTGTTTTCTTTATGCACAGCAATATAGTGAAAAAATATTATTATGCACCTATTAATAAGCCTATTGATAGGCGTTTCCGTGTGCATATTTAAAACCAATTTTGCAAGAAAAATGTATCTTACATTAGAGCCCTGCAACGGACTGGGAAATCCGATCCGCTCCGAACCCGCTCCGATTTTCGGACCGGATTGGGCGGATTTCAATCTGGAAAATTCGGGGTCGGAGTGGTTTCGGAGTTTATGTGCACCTGATCGGATCGGGTTCGGATGCAATAAAAACTCCGAATAATCCGAAATTAAATAAATATTATTAATTAATTTTTATTGAATTTCCCTCTTCTTCAAAACAAAAAACTTCGTCAGCTTCGCGCTTCGCGCGAGGATTCATTTGCGCTAAATTAGTTTACATCGAAGTATCTGCTTTTGCTTAAATGACTGTTGTTAATTCCCTTTCACTTTTTTTATTAATTCTCCTGACAGTTTTAATACTAGAGTATTTTACGATTGTTATGAAGTCGTTATTTGTTATCGTCTTATCAAATAATGTTAGTATAACTACGTCGGTCAAACGGACTACATGCGCTGTGCGGATCAGTCAGTTTAACTAGGCACCGGCTTCCCATTTTTATTTGCAGCACTAGTAATTGGATTAATATTGGTGATTAAGATAATAGCAATAATAATACATAAGTTTAACTAAACCTAAGGAATACATGGAACTACCATTTATTTTACTGTAGTTGCGGACGTTTAGAAACAACCATCCCATTAATTTTCTCTCCCTATTTTTGACCCTGCCCAATACGTGGGTGATCTGTGTACTGAACCGTATACAACAGAAAGATCTGATATAGATTTCTGACAATGAGGATACTTAACTAGCCTCCCCAATTGCTTCAACACTGCAGTGTTAAGAAACGTTAAATTTTCCTAAAAAATTTTTATTTATGTAAATCCTCTAGCGTAACCTTTATTATGCCCAAGAAAATTGTACTGGTGAATTTTGAAGTCTTTTTGCTGCCGACAACATGGAATTAAAATTTTTTGTTGATATAAAGATGTCCGGATGTGTAATAAAATTAATTTTCTTCTGGAAAATTTTTCGGATCGGATCGGAGTGGGTTCGGATTGGCCAAAAATATTTCGGATCGGATTGGTCGGAGTACGATTTTTAGAATTCGGAGTCGGACTGGGTTCGGATTAAATTTTTTAAGTTTGGATCGGACTGGACGGAGTTTTCTACTCCGTTGCAGGGCACTATCTTACATAGATTCGGGCGCCCCGTTATCAATATAAGGCGGCCTCCATAAATTACGTCACGCAAGTTGGGGGAGGGGGGAGGTCCTGAAAGCGTTACTGTTGTTACAATGGGGGAGGGGGTATTAAAAACTTTGTTACGATCCTGACGTCACCATGCTATATCTATGGAGGGGTTCTAAATTTGTTACGTAGCGCTCAGGGGAGGGGATCTGAGTTTGTTAGCACTGGTGACACAGGGGGAGGGGGGTATCAAAATGTCGTTTTTTTGCGTTACGTAATTTATGGATGCCGCCTAAGCGTCTTTATCGGGCCGCATGTATGTACAGTCTGTATTGCTATGGGCGTCGTTGCGTCGGCAGTTTGCACAGAACGCGCGAACAAGTTCAAGAGAATACCTGAGCCGCGCAAACGAGACAAACAAGGTGTTCGACAATGGCACTGCGGCGATGACACGGAGGTGCGATCTAGTCTGATCCCTATGGAGCCTTTCCTGAGAAGACTCACAACTTTTTTAAATATAGACTGGCACAGTTAACTCAGACGAGGAACCTCTACGCGCAGAGATCTCGTTGTCAAACTGCCGGCGGATTAGCTGATTGGTGTTCGAGCACGTACGTATGTTCTTTCATCATTGTGTCTTTTGTTTGCTTGTGCTTTTTTTATTTTTTCAACTTTTTTAAAGTTGTAGTTCTCGTTTGTTATTCTTGACTGTTTATCTGCCGAACGATGAAGCATGTTTTGAAACTATAGCAGTAGCAGAAGTTTGTTTGACAAGAATATATAGACACATAATACAGTCATAGAATGTCTAGCTTGTATTTACTGCATGAATTACATAGTTTACCAATAAGTGGGTTTTGTATCAATTTGTGATTTCCGTAAAAAATGCATGTTCAGAAATTCCGCCGGCAGTTTGACCAAGAGAATTTTCGCCGGCAAAAAATTCCGCCGTCGTTTTGACATTGGCCTTATAAGGAAGGCTGATGACTGAAAAGCGTACAATGCTTGGAACTAATAAAGTCATAAAATTGCAAAACTTTGGATTAGTTCAAAGCTGCTACTTAACAACTAGAGTAAAGTTCTGTTGATGGATGATCAGGAAAAAATGAATTAGTGCTACCGGTAAAGCTCAAAGCTGAAGAGAAAAGGGCTGTTTCCGGTGAAAAAACTTCGATTTTTGACGTTATCTAAAGCTTTTATAGCTTTTAATCTAAAGCTTCTAAAGCTTTGTATGTAAGTGCTATCGACGGGATGGGAAAAGATTTAAAATAGACACTGTACTGCGAAGGTAATACCAGTATTTCTGATTTCTATGTTAAGAAACAGGTTACATTTCGCACATAAAAGTTATGGAAATACAGATACGTAGATTTAGATATATGGCTATATGTACAGTAACTAATGTAAGTCTTTTTGAGATTTGCATTAAATTATTTATCCATCGCTGCTATATTCCGCGCAGTTTGCGCGGGGTCTACTAGTACTACTTAACAAGATGGGGGCTCGCTTCGCTCGCCCCATCTTGCCGAACTGTAGAATTAAATAGAATTACTACTCACCAGGGCTCGATCACTATCTCCCCCCTCAGAAAAAGCTCATTTTTTGTTTGAAGACACAATAGGTATGGGGAACACTTAAAAAAATTCTTTCATCGGCAATGGTCCAGTGGGCGTGGTCGAACACGAATTTAATGGTTGACAATATTGCATGTATTGCCACTGCCGTATCGCTGTAAGTACATAATTATGGTGTTACAGATGACACTGATAAAATAATTTATTGTGCGAGTTCTGTGTTATCCATTAGCACTGCACTTTCACTCCTCGATTTGATTTTACTTCCTAAACTGTTTTGAAAAATTAAAATTGTTAGAGAAGTCGCCAGTGGCGACTGTATTGAAACCCGATCGAAAAGACCATGTTTCTGCGTTTACAGCTCGATACGTGGCGAGATTCTTTAA